CATCACATTATGGGAGGGGAGATGGCTCCTTCACATGGCGAAAGGCCACCATCAGGCAAAAGAGCCCATGGCCTCTGAGAGGGCAAAGGCCAGAATGGTGTAGGAGAAGAGCCAAAGCTTCAGAGGAGGATTCCAGGCATAACCAATGATGAGACTCCCAAACACAGTCCCAATCTCGTCTCCAGAGCCAACCACTCCAACCGTGGCAGCCCCAGCCCCAATAAACTGGGCTGTTGTATCAACACCCCTTGGGATGGTACTAGTTTGGTAGCTGCAACTAGGGATAAATGAAATCAAGGAATGTGGGGCAGTCAAGCAGCTGAAGTTCTCATCGGTCAGTGTCTCTGGTTGTTTCAGCACCACTGCAGACAATGGATGCAGCTGAGAGGATCTCCTGACCAAAGAAGGGGTGGGGACAAACTTGGTGCAGGCAGACATTTTCAGTGGATGAGGGCCTATGGCAGGAAGGCCGCTCCTAGTGCAGAGTAGATCATGAAACAGATAATAACTAAATTTACTAAAATTTGAAGATATGTTTATACAGTTTACATCCTTTAAGTGTTAATCAGCTCTAAAAATAATATCATCTTGAATAGAAATGTATCTAAGTATGTTATGGATATAATTCATTTAAACAACCAACCTACCATCCTACCAACTGTTTTGAAACATGACCCTTAGTGAACATACAGTGGATGTGAAGATGTTGTTAGGAGCCGTCAAGTTGCCTGCAATTCGTAGGGACCCTATGTACAATAGCTCAGAAACCTATACATACATATAGTTCTGATACACCTATCCCATTGCCCTAGTTACTATATCAATCCATCTCATCTTAGGTCTCCCTTTCCTGCACTGTCCCTCTGCCCTTCGGAGCATGATGTCCTTCTTCAAGGACACATGCTCAAAGTATGTGAGGCTGAACTAAAAAAAAAATCCTAAGCTCCAAGGAGAAACTTGGTTTCACTCTCTCCAAGGCAGACCTGTTTGTTTCCTTGGCGGTTCATGGTATGTTCAAGACTCTTCTCCATGTATTCTCCAAGACTTCTTAATTCTTCTATTCTCCTTAGTCAATTATCCAGCACCCTGATGCATAGCAAGTAATTGCAAAGACCATGGACTGGATCAGACGCCTTAGTCTCTAGACTGACATTGTTGCTTCACGGTACTCTGGAAAGGTCCCTGACAGCAGATTTACCTAATGCAGTTTGTCCTTTGATTTCCTCACTGCTAGTGTCAAAGGTCTTGATTGAGGAGCCAAGCAAGTTGTAACTGTTAACAATCTTAATCGCTTCTCCATCTATCATGGTGCTATGTTTGTCCAGTGGTGAGAATCTTTGTCCTGTTGATGTTGAGCTTCAGTCCATATTGAAAACTACAGTCCCTGACCTTCTGCAGCAAGTGCAACAGCTGTGTCCTCAAGGAACTTACCAGCACATAGGGGATGCTAAAATAAAACTGTTAAGTATAACTGCATAATACATGCTAGGAGGTACAACTCCTATGGCTGCACATGTTAAGGGCCCTTACCTAAGAGCAAAACGCTCCATTGAACAGGTCATATTAGAATTTTTTTTTAGATGTGCAATTTTAATGCATTCTTAGCTTTTTATTACCATGAAAATAATGTTAACATTTTCAGTACTAAAACCAAATTCTGTTGCATAAACAACTAGGATTTTTCCAAGGTCTCAGAATCTTAGAAATTCTTTTTATGAGAGAAGATAAATATTATATAGACTTGCTTTATATATTTTTAAAAAATGTATTCATTTATTCCACATTTTATCATTTTTTAAACTTCAAAACATGATAAAATTAAAAATTAATATTAAATATGCCACCTGTAGTAAGTCTGTCCTATGCTATATTTTTTAAAAATTAATTTCAATGAACATTTACAGAGACTGGATTTTCATTCATTCACTGTTGCACTTTTCTCCCTGCCCACCCCACCCCCACCCCCAGTTCGCTCTTCTTGAAAAGCAAAAGAAAAACTCTGTCATTGGTATACAATCCCCCCCACCCCCCGCACCTTGAAATAAAGAGTAAGGAGAAGGGACCTTAGAAGGGAGGGGGAACCAGCATACATTAGACAAGCAGGCACAAAAGAACAAGGCAAATTTAAGGAGCAAGTCCTTTAGAGCTGCATTCTAGGTTCTAGCAAGGCTAAGGACAGGAAGGAACCAGATGAAAAATAGATTTGTACATTAGACTAAAAACTTCAATGAGATAGAAAGGTGTGGAAAGGTTACATGCTTCAAAACTATATGACTCAGTCTGTATTCTAAAACTCAAACTCATTGCCATTGAGTTGGGACGGACTCATAGCAGATCCTCCAGTGGATTTTGCATAGGAAGAAGTTGCTCATTGTTCCCCACAAAGCAATTGGTCGCTTAGGTTAGCAGCACAACGCCTTAGGAACCATACCACCAGCAGAGTTCCTTGGGAGGTGTGCTGCAGACCAAAGGTCGAGCCTCTCTGGCAGTTTGACTCTACCAGCGGCTCTGTGGGAGAATGGACAACTCCTCCTGTGCCGTTTACAGCCATAAACACCTGCTGGAGGATCAGCACACTCTGTTGTTGTTGTTGTTGTTATGTGCCGTTAAGTCACCTGCAACCTGTAGTGACCCTATGTACTACAGCTCTGGAAGATTCCCTGTCCTGAGCCCATCTCACTGACTCTGACACACCTACCCCATTTCCCCAGTGACTGTATCAATCCATCTCTTCTGAGGTCATCTGCTCCCGCGCTCTCCCTCCACCCTTCCGAGCAGGATGTCCTTCTCCAAGGATTGGTCCCTCTTGGCCACATGCTCAATGTTTGTGAGACAGAGCTTCAAAATCCTAGCCTCCAAGGAAAGATTTGGTTTCACCCTCTCCAAGAAAGACCTATCTGTTTTCTTGGCAGTCCATGGTATGTTCAAGACTCTTCTCCAGCAACACAACTCAAAGGCATTGATTCTTCTTCGGTCATTCTTAGTCATTATCTAGCTCTCTGATGCCTAGCAAGTAATTGTGAAGACCATGGCCTGAATCAGGCACATCTTAGTCTCTAGACTGACATTGTAGCTTTTCAGTACTCTGGAGAGGTCACTAACAGCATTTTTCCAGTGCAATTTGCCTTTTTATTTCCTAACTGCTAGTGCCAAGAATGTTAACTATGGAGCTGAGCAAGATGAAGCTGTTAACAACCTCAATCTCTTCTCCATATAATTGGCCTAGTGGTGAAAACCTTTGTCTTCTTGATGTTGCACTTCAACCATATTGAGGACTACAGTCTTTGACCTTGTGTTTTAAGGACTTCAGGTCCTCAGTTTCAGCAAGCAGGGTTTTGTCATCAGTATAATGAAGGTAGTTGATAAGTCTTCCTCCAATCCTGATGTCACATTCCTCTTCATAAAGCTCAGACTCCCAAAATATCTGTTTTGTATATAGGTTGAAAAGATACAGCGACAGGACTCATCCCTGATGCAGTCCTTCCTGATTTTGAATTATACACTGCTTCTCCACTCTGTTCTGAGTTCTAGTTTTTAATTCTGGAAACAATATTTTTATGCAAGAGAAAGTTTTTCTTTCCCTTCATAATGGACACCATGGTAAATATCTGATGAAGAATAGAAAGCAAGAAAATTACAGAATCTAGTGCCAGTTGTAAACTAACGGAAATCTGATTTCTTCATCTGTATTGAAGATTATTCTAGAGTGTTTTCCTGTCTCATTTTTTCACCTGTGAAATGGAAATCATTAGAGGGTCTGTGTACTTACTTCATTGTACATGAGTTACTATTTGGCATTTATTACAGTGTCTGTCAGTTATAAATAGTCAAGTGTAATTTGACATTATCTCCATTGTGATCATCCATCATTGTTAAAAATTGAATTAAAAATGGATTCAAATGCTAAGTTTATTTTAATACCTAGAATTAAAAGCAGTTTTCCAGTTATGCATAAATGTTCTTCCATGTTTAGTTTCAGTCATCTCATAATGGCTTAGAAAAGGCATTGGTTAGAAAAGCACATTGACTATATACTTGGGAGAAATCTAGTTTGGTAGTCAAAGACACTAGAAAAAATTAAATTGGTCTGTGAGTGGTTGATAACAGTAACCTGAGAAAAGCTGGGTGATTGACTTATTCTTTAAAGGGTAAAGAGGAAACTAATCAAGGTTCACAGATAGAAATGGAGGTAACTTAATTTTTTTTCTTTCCACTCATAAGCCTTCAGAAAGAGAATATATTAAACTTTTGATAGTAGATTATGTTGTTTGTTGTTGTAGTGCTGTTGAGTTGCTTGCAACTCATATCAACCCTATGTATAACAGCCCTAAATCCTGCTCTACTCTGCCAACTGCACGGTCTATGACATACTTACTCCCATCACCCCAATCACAGAATCGATTCATCTCATCGAAGGTCTTCCTCTCCTGCACTGTCCCTCCACTCTCTCAAACATGATGTCCCTCTCCAAGGACCAGTCCCTCCTTGCAACATGCCCAAAGAATGTCAGATGAACCTTCAGAATCCTTGACTCCAAGGAGCATTCCAGCTTCACCTTCTCAAGGACACATCTGTTTGTTCTCCTAGCAGTCCATGGTATATTCAACGCTCTTCTCCACCACCACATCTCAAAGGCATCAGTTCTCTTTCTGTCATCCCTAGTCATTGTACAACTCTCCAATGCATGGCATGCAATTGTGAAGACTATAGCCTTCATCTATAGCTAATTTTAAAATATTTTTATACGTTAATGACAGTAGTTATATGCTGCTTTTTGTTAATTTGGTTGTATTTTTATGAATTGGGCTATTTCCTATAGTGTGCCTATTTGAAAATCTCCTATCTAGTTTACCAATTTCTATCTGATTGTGTAAATATTAGCTAAGTCAGAACCAAATTTACTATCTGCGTAATACCATCTCTCTAGGGGGAAAAAGTAGACTACATTTCATTGGTCTATAGAATAATAGGTGATCTTTCTCTCTGTTCCATTTTGTTAGTGCTCCTATATTCCTCCCTGTGAAAGAGAAAACCAGAAGAACTTGGAAAGCGTCATGACTTGGCAGCAGTACTGGAAAGAAGAGATCGGTTCCCAACCATTTACGTGCTATTTTAATCAATATCAAAGGTAAGTCACTATTTCCATGTGCATATTAAGTAGCATCTGTAATTTATTACACTAATAAATCATAGATTGTTCCCAGTGACAAAATGTGCTGCATGTAGCTGATTTCAGCCCTTCCACATGGCTAGCAATGCTGCCCCATGCTCTGGAGAATGAGAAAGCATACAAAGAATCTGCAAGTTATGTCATAGAGCTTACCATTTGAATACACCAAGAAATGACAGCGTCTGTCTACTGCAAGTTCCCTGCAAACTACAGATTTGTAGCACATATTCCCAAAAGCTCTTATCTTTCCTTTCTGTTTGGAGGAAGTAGCAATGGAGATGACGCTATTTAATTATAATTGACTCAAAACCAGAACTCATTGTCCACAAGTTCATTTCAACTCATGGTGACCCTCCATCAAATTTTTAAGTCGATAAATCTTTACAGGAGATTGCTTCATTTTCACCCGGAAACAGCTGGTGAATTTCAACTGCTGACTTTTGTTAGTATTGACTTAACCAGCAATTCAAATTTGCTACCACTGAGGTTATTGAGACTCAAAACAGCTCTTCACCTGGTTTTCAAGGCAGTAAATCTTCATGGGAAGAGACTGCCTGTATTTTTCCCTGCAGTTAGTGCGTTGACACTACTGGCCTTTTAGTGCATTTTAACACCAGGGTTCCTTACTTGGCTTGTTGTTTTTGAATGCCATTGAGTCAGAACTGACTCACAGTTGACCTTTCAGAGGGTTTTCAGAGGCAGCAAATTGCATGGGAGGAGATTGCCCATCTTTCTCCTGCAGAGCAGTTGGTGGTTTTGAATGTGTACCTTTGAATTGGCAGCACAATTCCTTACCACTACGATTCCTGGAGAGCACAAAAGGTTAAGCTGGCGGCTTCTCAGAGGATTTCAGATTCATCCACAAGGTGTCTTGGAAGAATAACTTGGCAGTCTGGTTCCTAAAAATCACAGCAATGAAAACCCTATGGAAGTCAGTTGTACCCTGAAAAATAAGACGTCATCATGAGTTGAAATTGACTTGACAGAACTAAGTAAAGTTATACCATGTAACAAAGGTCTCTTGGACTGGAACATTTCATTACCCACTCAGATTATTTATAATAATTTATTCATCCAACATTTATTACGTATTCAAGACTTCTTGCTCTACATTTCAAGATACTCATTTCACTTGTTTGATTAACAGATACCTCAAATCTTCTCTTCCTCTCACATTTCTCCTTTTAGTAAATCACACTATTGTCTACTCATTTACCTAACCCAGAAACCTTTGAGTAATTCTTCATTCCTTTCTCCTTTGTATTCAGTAGCATAAATTAATCATTGTGATTTTCTCTCTACAGTAGTGTTGAATCCATTCATTTCTCTACATTGCTGCCAGTGTCAGAGTTCAGGTTCACATTATGTCTCAGCTGTACTAATGCAATAGTCTTGTAATGAGCTCTGGAGTCCCCCTTCTGCCTTGTTCTCTAAGCCGTTTTCCAAGGTGCTGCCAAAGCAACCGTTCTCAAACATGAATGTAATCAAATTCCCTCTTGAAGGCTTTCAGAATAAAGCCCAAACTTCTTGGCATGATCTGTGTGTCACTTACTTATTGCTGTGTAATGAATAACACCCAAGTCTAGAAGTTTCCCACAAAAATAACTTAGTATTTCTATAGTTCTGTAGGTTGATGGGAATAATTCTTATGCTGGTCCCTCTTGGGCTTATTGCAGTCATAAAATTGCTGGAAAAGCTGTATGGTCCAAGAGGCCTCCTTCAGACATCTGGCAGTTGGTGTTGGCTGAGGCATCTTGATTCTCTCATCCTCCAGTAAGCTTATAACATGGCAGCCTCAGGGCAGCATTCAAGAGAACCTTAACTCTGGAACTCAAATGGCATTATTTCTGACACCTTCAACTGGTCAAAGCATGTGATAAAACCAACCAATGAGGATTGAAGTAAACTTTACCTCTTGATGAGAAGAGATGCAAAGGATGTGGTCTTATTTATTCTACCATAGTATACCAGAGTATTCAGAATCTTGCTTTAGAATGCCATCCATGTCTAGCCTCATCTTCCTACTTCATACCCCATCTGAGCTGTACTCAGATAAGTGCATTCCCCAGAATATACTATGCTTTTATACCTAGCCTTCTTATTTGGTCTTCTTGCTTTATGAATACTCATTAAATACTCTTTTCAAATTGTACCTCCTCTGGGATATTTTCCTTAATCCTTAAATTAGATTTAATTGCATATCAGGTAAGATACCACCTGGTATTAGTGGTATCAGATACCACCATTAAACAGGAAATATATTATGTCATACATCAATTCAATGCACTAGTTGAATCTTTGGGTTTTGATGCATTGGCTTAACAGTGTCATCATAAACCCTGGGCCTAAACATTGTATGAGACCACTATTATGAATACACAGAAACATTCTTTGATGGTTAGTAAGAAAGAATAAGGAGGAAGGCTGTTTTGTTGTTGTTATATACCATCAAGTCGGAACTGACTCATAGCTGACCCTCCAGCAGGTTTTTAGAAGCATTATAATCACCAAAGAGGAGATTGCCCATATTTCTCCTATAGGGAAGCTTGTAGATTTGAGTCACGTGTCTTTGGGTTGGCAGCACAGAGCCTTACCACTAGGCCCCCTGAGCTCTCTTAACTAGATTGACGTCAAAAGTTAATTCTGGTGAAGAGGAAGACAGTACAAAATATGAGGGCAGTCAGTACCACATTACCAAGGGAAAGGAAGCTAATGAGAAGTACATAAGAATAAAAAACAACATTAACTATACAGGCCTGCAACAACATTAATAAATAATAACAATCTGTAAGTAGATATAGAGGTAGAAATGTAGGCTAAATAGATGAGGGAGGGTTTATGATGGTACACTTGCATACATAGATAGATACTGTTGTTAGGTGTTTAGAGCTGAGTATGACTCATAGCAACCCTATGAACAATAGCTCTGCACCCTGTCCTGTGCTGTGCGATCCTCATTCTCCCTGATATATTTTATCCCATTGCTGCAGTCACTGTGTCAGTCCATCTTATTGAAGATCTTTTTCTCTTTCTTTGACCCTTCACCATTCCAAACATCGTGTCTCTTTCCAAAGAATAGCCCCTCCTAACAAAATTTCTGAAGTTTGTGAGAAGAAATTTCACTGTCCTTGCCTCGAAGGAGCACCCTGGCTGCACTTTCCCAAGACGTTATCTATTAGTTCTTTTGGCAATCCATAGTACTGTTCTCCACATCTTAAAGTCATCAGTTCTTTTGTCATCCTTGCTCATTGTCCAGCTCTCAGATGCATAGCAAGCGATTGAAAAGATCACAAGCTGAATCAGGTGCACCTTGGTCTTTAAATTGATGTTACTACTCAATACTTTGAAGAGGTCCTTGACAGCTGACTTTCCCAATGTAATATATCTTTTGATTTCTTGACTGCTGGTCAAGATGAAATCAGTGACAATTTCAATCTTTTCTCCATGTATCTTGATATTTCCTATAGGCTCAACCGTGAGGATTTTATTTTTCTTGATGTTGAGATGTGATTCACACCGAAGGCTGTAGTCTCTGATATGTGCAGAAAGCACCTTAAGTCTTCACTTTCAGCAAGCAAAGTTGTGTCTTCTGCATAAAGCAGATTATTGTTGAGTTTTCCTCTGATCCTGATGCCCTATCCTTCTTTATAAAGTCCATCATTTTGAATGATTTCCTTAGCATACAGATTAAATAGGTATGGAGAAAAGATACAGCTCTGACATATAGTTTTCTGATTTTTCATATATAAAAAAATCATGGTAGAGATTTCCACATATATATTTGTAAATGCACATGTATACTCATATACTTAACAGAGCTTATGTGGACACAATTATAGAAACAGTTTAGACATTAGGACTGAACTACAGGAAGATCCAATCGAGGTCAGTAGGAAAAATGCATTTTATAATGTCCCTCCTACATTCTAGTCAGCCTTTTTGATTAACAATCATTTGAGAGCTTGAAGCCTCTTATTTAAAACAGTTGTGACCTAGAAGACAGGCCTTCTTAATTAACAGTTATATGGGCCAACTTGTGAGTCACTAGCAGCAAAAGTTCAGCTGAAACCTCATGTGACCTTAATATCCACATTTGGAACATTACCCCAGCATGCCAGCCAGCACACTTCACCACCCTCCGAGGAGCACATCTTGCCTCATCTATAAAGACTTCATCTGAATCTGGTAACAGGATATTCATATGCCTGATTTGCCACCAGAGGTACAGTACTGGATTGTCCGTTGGTTGCATTTGGGGAATACATTGTTCTTATTAGTCCAGCACTTGTCTGTCAGTTTGCTGTACAAACTTGTGGGTTGCTATGATGCTGAAAGCTATGCCACTGATGTGTTAAATGCCACAAAGGTCACCCATGGTGGACAGGTTTTAGTCAGGCTCCTAGACTAACACAGACTAGGAGGCAGGATTTGTCATCTACTACTAAAATAACAGGCCTCTGAAAACCCGATGAGGAACATGGATAGTTATAATAATAAAGCTATAACTCAAATTGGAAGTCAATCAAAATGAGGAAAAATAGTGACAAACACCCTTTAATAATTAGAACATAGAATGTACAAAGCATGAAATTTGGAAAACTACAAGTTGTGGAAAATGAAATGAAATGCATGAACATCAACATTCTAGGCATTAGTGAAATGACATGGACTAGGTTTGGCCACTCTGAATCAGATAATCACATGGTATACTATGTTGAGAATGAAAAACAGAAGCATGGTCTTGCATTCATAGTAAAAAGTAAATTTGAAGTTCTATCCTGAAGTACAATGTTGTGATATTATCCAACTCATATAAGGAAGATCTGTCAATATGACTATTATTCAAATACATGCTTCTACAGCTAAAGCCTAAGAAGAGGAAATTGAAAATGTTTACCAAATCTTGCAGTCCAAAATTGGCCAGATGTGTTAATGATAATTGGTGACTGGAATGAAAA